GAAGTTTTTTATAGTGTCAAGGGCGAGGAAGATGTTAGAATTCAGCTGATTTCATTGCAAAGGCAAGTGGTCCTCAATCTTAGATATAAAAGTATAAAATAGTGTGTCCCAAGGGGATAGATATCCGAGTATCACAAGTGGCTTTTTCTCATTGGAGCAACAAATAACACTTACAAAATTGTTTGAGAGCTTCACCAAAATTATCTGAGTAGATAAAAAAGATGGATGCCTCTAAGTGTTTTGTGGATCTAAAGAGTGCCAAGTGGAGATGCAAAGAAAATATGGAAATCTTGAGCCTCTAATGAAATGAGAGCTATAGATACTCTGCATGGATAAGGATTGAGGAAGCACTCACTTCTTCCTACATAAACCTCTGCCTATTCCACCACTCTCAAAACTTAAACCAATAAACCCCCATTACCGGAAAAAACATCAAGGTTTTAGAATGGCAGCTGCAACCATGGCTCTCTCTTCCCCATCCTTCGCCGGAAAGGCTGTCAATCTCTCCCCTTCCGCCCCTGAAATCCAGGGCAATGGCCGTGTTTCAATGAGGAAGACCGCCACCAAGCCCAAACCTGCAGCCTCCGGTAGCCCATGGTACGGTCCGGACAGAGTTTTGTACTTGGGTCCACTCTCCGGTGAGCCTCCATCTTACTTGACCGGAGAATTCCCCGGTGACTACGGTTGGGACACCGCTGGTCTCTCCGCTGACCCAGAGACCTTTGCCAAGAACCGTGAGCTGGAAGTCATCCACTGCAGGTGGGCTATGTTGGGAGCTCTTGGGTGTGTTTTCCCCGAGCTTCTAGCTAGGAATGGAGTCAAGTTCGGTGAGGCCGTGTGGTTCAAGGCCGGATCTCAGATCTTCAGCGAAGGTGGACTTGACTACTTGGGTAACCCAAGCTTGATCCACGCTCAAAGCATCTTGGCCATCTGGGCTTGCCAAGTTATCTTGATGGGAGCCGTCGAGGGTTACCTATTGCAGGTGGGCCTTTGGGTGAGGTAACTGACCCATTGTACCCAGGCGGCAGCTTCGACCCATTGGGTCTGGCCGATGACCCAGAGGCATTCGCCGAGCTCAAGGTGAAGGAGATCAAGAACGGCCGATTGGCTATGTTCTCAATGTTTGGATTCTTCGTCCAAGCCATCGTCACCGGAAAGGGACCATTGGAGAACTTGGCTGACCACCTTGCTGACCCAGTTAACAACAATGCCTGGGCCTACGCCACAAACTTTGTCCCCGGAAAGTGAGCTTTAGAGAATGGGGGTGTTTTGTGTTTGAAGTTTTCTTTGTTATAAACTTGTTGCAAATCAATGAGATGTGATTTTTGTGTGCCCAAAGTGCAGTTATAGTTTGCTTGCCTACCTTCTTTTAGCATCTTTAAAATCTCCGTTTTATTTCAAAAGGAAAATGATAAAAGTTAAACATACAAGGGGCAAACCAATAATTAACCAAAAAATGAGGGTTATATCGTTCTTTTGATAGTATGGGGTTATAAGAAATTTGATACAAATCTCAAATTCGATAAAACACTCAAACTCAATAAAATATATAAATTCTTCATTTCGACGAACAAGTTTTCTACATTAGCACAAAATTTAAAACTGTAATAAATTTGAGACAAAATCTAAAGTTCGATTAAATACTCAAATTCAATAAAAAAACATTTTTTTATTTCGATAAACAAGTTCTCCATCTTTTTTACGAACCCCTTAAAAGATACTAATCAACCATGATTGTCAATTTGATCTAACCCTTATCTAATCTTGGATGCATGAAGTAATATTATACACATGATGCTGATTATCAATGAACTTTTTTTTTTCATTATTTATCTTTGTGAAGAATTAGACTCCCTAATGTTTTTCAAATTTATTATGTCCATGAAATTAAACTATTTTCTACTTCCCAAAAGCATTATATCTATCGTAGATACTTATTTTTGTTTAGATTCAATATAAACTTTTATTTTTTAAATTTTAAGTCAATAATTTTATTCACTTTTTAGTCTTATAAAAATTTATGGTAGTTTAATGAGTGGAAATAAACTGTTGAGATTAACAATAGAAAATAAGAATATATACATCGAAGAAAATGAATTAATCTCAGTCGTCTATTTTCACTCATCCAATGATCCTAGATCTCTGTAAAATTAATTTTTTTGCAGTGTGTGAGTGGTCATAACCCTTAAATATATGCTAATATTAAATAATTTGGACTTATGTGTGTGTATATATATATGGGTTAGAATCCACTTATATTGTGTAGAATATTTTTAGTTTTACACCTTTTTAGGATTGTTAAATTAAGGGATATCAAAGGTTGAGATTAACTCATCATTTTTTCCAGTGAATATCTTTTCATTTTTTACTATTAATCTAAACATTTAATTTATCTCATCTAATAATCTCAACATTTAATTTAATCATCCCTCGCATGTGTGACCAATGCTCGACTCTTAACCTTCTTCCCATGCCAACCTTCTACCAGCCTAAAGCCCATACCTCAAAGATCAAGACCCGTCTCAATTGACGACTTCGTCAGGTCAATAGGTACCACAAGTTCTTATCCAGTCGTCTCAAACCGATTTACATTGGATATAGAATTTTTGTGGTTGATTTGTTTCCATTTTTATCCATTATCAAATCATGCTCGTAATATCTGTCAATAAATTTTTTTACGCGTCTTTTACACAAATGGTAATAAACAGGGTTGAGGAGTCAAGATTTATATACGGTCTATAAGTACCAAATTCAAGAAATATATTTACCTACATGATCTCGGTTAGTAACATTTCAAGCCGTCTTGCCTGTTTTTTTTTTTCTTGGTAGATGTTTTGTAATGACGATCCCCAGTAAGAAAACAAAAGATTAGAATGAAGATTATCAAAAAGAAGAATGGTGGGTTGATCACATTCTCAAAACACCGATCATGTATCTACATCAAAATAAGTGAGATAGTCATACTATGTGACGCAAATATCTTTTTTGTTCGCTTCTCGTCAGCAGGTAATTCATTTTCTTATGATCACTCTTTTGTTAAATTATTTGCTAATTGTTTTTTAAATCATATTATTTTGTTTACTCATAACAGCACTCATTCTCTTATTAAGATTAACTGAAAGTAAAAGTCAATTAGATAATTTATCAACATAGTAAGGTCGTTGGCAAACTTGATGCAATCAAAGAGAAAGAAAGTAAATATTTAAATCATTTCATTGAATATATATATACCACAATGTAAAATTCTTTTAGTTTTTTGCAGATTTAGGATCATTAGATGAGTGAAAACAAATAACTGAGATTAAAAGTAGGAAAGGTGAATATAATTACTGGAAAAACAAAAATGTAAATATTAACCATCTATTTTCACTCATCCAATAGTCCTACATTTGTATAAAATTAAAGAGTTTTATGTAAGTGGATCGCATAATAAAGCATTATACAAAGACACGGAAATCCCATTACTCCCCAGTGACACGTATATTGACAATTTAAAAAAAATTTATCGGACTAAATCTTAGTTGGTATTTTTTTTAATTAATTGTAAGTATGAAAAATTTCAAACATAATATTTTTAATTTTAAAATTTTAAAAATCGTAGATAATTTAAATATTTAAAAATTATAAATATATAATAGGAGGGATTAATTTTATGATTATTTCTTAATTTTCAGTTGTCAGCAAGAAACGTTGATTTAATTATATGTATAGTTTAGATATTAATTATTCGATTAAGTTTCCGTTCGTATGTTGATATTAGGGATACGATGGGTCGGGTCAGATTTTCAATCGATCCGATCTGAAAATTTTAAAACTTCAGTCTGACCCGAAAATACATTTCTTCCACCCGATCTGAATCCGACACTCTTTTTTGAGATAAAATCCGAATTCGACCCGATTAGAACCTGAAATAATATATTTATTAAAAAAATATTCAATAAAATAGAGATTTAATTGAAAGAAAATAATACATAGAGAGGTATTATTGCAATTATACTTAAATATACAAGGAAAAATTATAATTTTTTTCATGTCGGGTTGGATAGGGTATTTTTTACCCTAAACCCAAACCCGACCAGACTCAAACTCGATTTAAAAAAAAATCAGAACCGATAAGGTCGAGTTGGAAGCCATTGGGTTCACGTCCCATGCCCATCCCTAGTTGATATATGTCCTTCCTTTTCAAAATATATAATGGGTCGTTTAGAAATACTTATGGAAGTGTTTTTGACCCAAAATTTCATTGGAAACGTAAAAGCATTTCCAAACAACTCTTCTCCGGCTAAAAAATCATGTTTAAAAATTGATTATTGACTCAAACCAATCAATTGAAAAAGCTCTATTTTTACGTTGAAAAAACTCATTTAAAAAATCATTCCGAAACAAACCAAACAACATATTCATTTCTGATAATTTATGTTCATTCATATTGCATGATTGGTATAGATTATAATTATAAATTGAGCCGCTACTGTGTTTTTGCCAAAGTATAATTTTCTTTTATATTTTTATCATATTCAAACTCATAGTTAATCATTTATCAATTCAAGGGAGCCTATTACATAAACAATTATGATTAATACAACAGACAGCTTGCAAGGATTTTGAATTTGTTCTTCATATATGGCAAGCCATATAATCATCCCAAAACCCTTAATTTGGAAGGAAAAAATAAATCTTGAAAAGCGATATTTTACCTATTGAGTCTGTTCCTATAGAACTGAATCTTCTAAATCTTCACTGTCCTTTCAAATAGAATGCACCCGACAGTCCAGCATTGATATGCAATATTCATGGGTTTGGCTATTTTTCTATTTTAGTATAATCAAATCTTCCTTGTCCCTGCAAATGCAATGCATTTAGCAGTTCAATACTGATAATGTTCATGGATTTGGTTGGCTTTCCATTTCAGCATGGCAAAGAAGATAATAATGTCACATACTCACTGATGATGACTATTCTTATAATTGAATATATTGTACATTTACAGTCCTATAGATATGCATTTCATCCAACAAGAATGTTATTCTATAACATCTCGAAAGTCTAATAAAGAACTCCTTAACCTTCCTGTAATTTTTTCTTTTGTCCTTTGTTTTTCTAGCAATGGCATCCCAAGCACGGGAAAGAAAACCAAGGGAAAACAAAAGATCGATATTAAAGTCATCGAAAATAAAGATGACAAATTGATCACATTTTCGAAACGACGAACTGGAATCTACAAAAAGTTAAACCAGATAGCCACACTGTGTGGTACCGACTTTCTTTTCATTTGCTTCTCTCCTGCAGGTAAGCCGTTTTCGTTTGGTCATCCCTCGATCGAATCTGTTGCTAACCGCTTTTTAAATAATAATATTGAGCCTGCCCCAGACAACACTGAATCTCTTGTTGAGGCTCAACGAAGAGAAAGAATAAATCGGATAATTCAAAATTATAATGAGGCGGTGAACCAACTAGAGGCGGCCAAAGAGAGAGCAAAGGCACTTGCTCAGGTTAAGCAGGCCGGCGGGAGTGAAGGTAATCATTGGTGGATAGCTCCCATCGATCAACTCGACCCTCAAGAGCTACAACAACTTGAATCCCGTCACGAAGAGTTTCTCAACCAGCTCTACATTACAAGGAGCAAAGTGATTGAAGCCATGACTTCTTCAATACCTACTCCAAGGGATCCTCCATCGACTTGACCACCTCATTTAACATGTGTGTAAATTGGTTATTAATAAAAGTGTTGCTTCTATTTCTTAGTATTAATTCTCAACAATATTATCTTGTAATCACCTCATATTATTAAAAATAATATTTTTTTAAAATTAAATATTATATTTACATTTGCATATATAAACTAATTTACTCATTGAATTGTCAAGTTTTGTAATAAGACAATTTCAATATATTAATATTATCTAAATTATTGGTGTTCTACGATTTCATATCGGCTTAAAATTAAAGACAATTAATTCGTGCGAGCGAAATAATATGAAAGTTTAGAAATGAACGAAGCATGCTAAAATATTGTTATATTAGATAAAATTAATCATACTTGAAAATAATGAAGGATTTAATCGTTAATATCCTATATTAGCTATCCCATTCAAAAATTTCAACTAAAATGATAGGAGTAAATAACCAAATGAAGAAACGTACTAAAAATACTGTCACATTAAAAAATAAAATAAAATAATTATACATGTAAATAATGAAAGATATAACTGGCAATATATTGTATTATTTAGAGACGTTTCTAGCTTATGTTCTCAGTTTGTTATTGCAAATGTCAATCTATTTGGAAAATAAGGTTAAAGGCAGGAATTTTATGTGGGTGAAAATAACAGTATAAAATTTTAGAAGGTCAAAGATATATTTTTTGTATTAAAAGTGCTTAAATTGAATTTTTAATTTTTAAGAGGAATATAAATAATTATTTGTTTAATTAAATGAGCAGGAATTGTGAGGTTAAAATATTTTTGTTTAACTAAATGACTAAAACAATTTAATTTCAATTATTATTTTTAATATAATTAATTATTTAATCTAATTAAGTGAGATAAAGTCTCATGCATGCTTCTTAATATCGTACCTATTTAAGAAATATTATATAATATTTAAATCAAAAATTTTATAGCAATACTTAACATTGTATTTATCTAGAGTTTATCAAATGACTTCGATGATAAAAAATGTTATTCTTTTTATAGATTTTAAATTTAAGTAATTGTATCTATATTGTAACCCCCTCATACCGATGTAGGTGGCCCGATCCGATCCAGGGTGTCACATTAGGGCCACCGGAGCGACCCACCGTAGAAAATCTCAGAAAATTTAATTTTTTTTATTAAAACATGTAAAATCATAAAATTATTTATGAATACAAAAGTAAAATTTACAGTATTTAGAAGTAAAACAAATTACAACCTACATGCCTCCTAATCACCTACACCGTACACCGCATGCAATGCCAATGGAACTCCCCTACTGACTTCGATAGCCCCACTAGTATGATTCTTTTATCCTGAAATGATGAGTAATAGAGTGAGCTTTGGAAAGCTCATTAATACAATACTACCAGTTGATGCTATAGGACATGCAGATACTTGTAGAAGAATAAAATTTCCTTATTGAATCAAATGTATACAAATTTTCGGAATAAGCTGGGGTTCTACTGGTAATTCATCGAGTAGCAGCCGTGAAGATATCAGTTCATAGGAAACATTCACAGTATCAAGTTTTTATGAGATCAAATAAGATGTCTAGTGTGTTCCAACCAAAACCAGTGAAAATATATAAATCTTTTTAAAATATTAATTGTTTACAACATATTTTCAAAACCATAGTAGAACCCTCAAACCGAACATCGTTATGCAGTTCCCATAACTGTATCCATAAGGGCTTACCCTAAGCACACAACAAAGGGAGCCAACCTAAGGGTATGCCTTGGGACCTATAGGCCTACCCAAGGGTATCCTTAAGTCCGTAAGGATTTACCAGCTGGATCAGGGTTGTACCTCCATACTCCATAATCCTATCCATATAAAAATCTAATAGAAATCAATTTTAACTGTAAATCGTAATATCTGGATCGTGATCCAGTCATATGTCATAACCATGATAATGAAATAAACTGTATAACTGATCTCCACCTGTACACCGTATAGTCCCATGATTAACCTAAAGGAGTGCCTTGGGGCCTGAGAGCCTACCCAAGGATCACCTTAGGTCCGTAAGGATTTACCAACTTGATCAGATTTGTACCTCCATACTCCAGTCTACCCATATAATATCCCAATAAAACAGTTTGAGTATAATCCATGAAAAAGTAAACCATAGTTTAGAAACCAGTAAATTCCATGATTCCATAAATTAGGAACAATTCATATCCTTCAGTGAAAATAGGTAACCATAGTACATATACTATGTAGTCATAGTTCATAAGCCAGTAAATCATTAAATCAGTGATTTCGGAAAATCACGTTTTAAAACAAGTAAAATATTTCCATGTCACATAAGGAACACACTAGAGGATCCAGATATTCTTAAGAGCTACTTAGAGATCATGAAGGTATTCATAATCTTTTTGTATCAGATTTACTTAATATTTCAAGTATGACATGAGTGATTCAATTACTTAACAATCAAAGGAATTCAAGATTATGAATTGAATTATCAGGATTTTAAGTCCAATCGAATCAAAGGGGGTATTCAGGATCCTTTGCATCTGAGTTATTTGTGTGATCAGTTATGATCAGAGTGATTTGAGTTGATAAGAGAGAAATGAAGGTTCAAAACATTTACAATTTGTTTCGATATATCGAATTATCGAATAACACGAGTTGAATAACTCCCAGAACTAATGCATGTCGACTGATCAATTCATTGCCCTTCCAGGGTATTCCCCCTTTAATACCAGAAATTCTTATCTATAGTTCATCTTCAGGATCATCTCTGAATATATCTTAAGGAGACGAACATATATTCCAATGGCCTTTACTTCATTCTCACGCTGCAACACCATCAGGAAATGATGGCATACTTGATTTATGGTTTACAACCCATGGGGACAGTATATCATATAAGATCATCAATGTTTCCAAACTTATCCAAGTTATTCACTTAATTCAAGATCATCGGTGTACTTAATTCAACTAGTATTGAAATTTATCCTGGTCGCTTAGGAGTTTCCTGAGTAATTCGGTCGTTTCAGCAAATTCGAATACATATAGTATTTTTATTCCATTTAACTTGGTCAAATAATATAGTCATATAGGTATTCGAGATTGATTTATTCATTTCATAGCTTGAGGGCATTAGTCATTCCAAATCTTGGAAATACTTTAAGTCATTACACTTTAGGGGCATTTTGGTCATTTACACTTTAGGGCATTTCTATAAATCCAATATAGATCAAAAATTTATTTCGATAATTCCAAAGTTCAAGTAAATCAAGATATGCATTCTTAGGTCGTCTCCATTATCATAGTCATCCATTATGTTTAACACTTAAGCATATCATTCTCATTTCCTTCAAATCTGTCAGTGACATAATTTTCGATAAACTAAGCTTATCTTTTAGTGTTCAGGGTATTTTGCTCCTTTGATCATTATAGTTATTACGAAGCTCGAGGATATTTCAGTAATTACTTTCAATCCGATCATATGAACTTTTTCTGATAATTAGCCATGTTTATCCTTTTAGAGTTATTTTTCGCCATCCGGAGAAGTCTTGTTATTTTTCCATTACAATGGCATTTTCGTAATTTTATCCCGTTTTGCTCTTTTCGATAACTTCTTATCCAGTTAATCCTGATATTTAACCTTTTAAGAGAATTTATCTAACTTTATGGATCTTGAATCGGTATTCATTTATTATTGGATCACTGAACTTATTATTATTTTTGATTGATCTTCCAATTTCTCTTTATCGAGTCATCTGAGTCTTATACTGTTTTCTGTCCTTATTCCAATTTTACATCTGAGTCCACTGATAATTAAATATATCTAATGTATCAATCCATTACATTCATGCAATTATCATCCATCAATGAGTTTAATAAGCATACAAAAGGTAGTAGAGTATTACCTTGATTTTCATGCCAAACCGATCAACCATTTAAATTCCATTTGATCACCCTCGAACTTGAATTCAACATCCAATAATTCCTCAGATACAAAGCAACCGAATTTACGTCAGAAACTGAACTCAATTGAGAAACCATATTGAATTCCAAAGGCAAAACATCAAAAAATAATTTATCGGGTGCGAATTTGGAAAAATGGACTTCGGATTCAGACTCATGACGTCAAAAAATATAAAATAAGACCTTTTCGAAAAAGTTAACTTTTTGGTCAGCGATCAACAGTCAAAGTCAACAGTCAACGGGTTGACTCAAACGAGTCGACTCAGATTGAGTGGACTCGGACCAGACGGGTTGGGCATACGGGTCGGGTCGACCCGGTTCTGGAAACTTCCTTAGACCCAAAACAAGGTCCACTCGTACCTAGCGGCGAATGGGGTGCGTGCGACGACGACAAGGATGATTTCGACCAACCGTTCACTCCTGAAGCAATCTAGCATCATTTCAGACCAATTCATACCAATCATATCTACCAAAACCAAGCTAAAACTAGATAACATTAAATAACCGAATGATCTCAGCTTATCCTCAGTGATGGACGATGAGTTTTGATCGAAATCATCTGGGGAACACCATGGTGTGGCCGGTGAGGTGTGTGTCGGTCTCCGGTTCAATCAAAAATGGAGAAAAATCGAGGCACGTGGGTGTTGGGACCATCGGCGCACTCCATGGCACAGCAGAAACAAAAACTCAACGGTCTCACCAGCGATCCAAGTACGAAAAACTGAAATTGGGAGGAAGGGATGCGAATACTTACATTGGGTTCCTTAAAAAATAGCAAGGACAATAGTGAATACTGGTGGTGTAGATCGGTTCGAATGTAAGTCTTCACGAAATCACGTCTTGGCCTCTACTCAGTTCACCCGATTAAGAGCAATATTTTTTCTTCCCCAAAACAGTTTTGAGAGAAAAACAGCTGAAGGTTTTGTGTGTGTGTTCTAAAACGGCTGTTAGACCTAACACACCCTTTTATAGCCAAGTTACCCTAATCATATTAGGGTTTTATTATTTCAAATTAATTAAATCTATATTTAATTAATTAGAATTTAATAATC